GCCCCGGCTTGCTGTGCTACCTGCCAGGGCTGAAGGTGCCATGGCTGCTCACGCAGTGGACCCTGGGCTCCACGAACTCCATGCTGAATTCTTCCTCAGGCAGCAGAGTGACACTGTGCTGCGGGGAGAGGGACTGGATTGCTGTGCCTGGGCAGGAGTGACAGGCCACGCAGCCCAGACCCAGGCCCAGACCCAGATGGCCAGCGGAGCCCAGCCCAGACGTGGAATCGAGGGAGACCTCCTGGGGCCAGGCACCCGCCCACACCCTTACCTCAGGCTCTCTCGGGTCCCCAGACCCACTTTCACAGACTGCGTGGGGACCCGATGCTCTTTTCCCTCACTTCTACGAGTGCGTAACACGAGCAGGACGAAGATGACCCCAGGGCTGTGGGGAAAGGGGCTCCTTACCAGGAAGAAGCGTGCCTGCTCGGCTGTGAGCCGGACACTGGCCTCTGAGTCCAGGTAGAAGGTGGCCACATGGCGCCGAGCATCCAGGACAGGACCCCGACACAGGGTGCTGGTGGGTTGGACAGTGAGTGGGTTAGCAGCCCTGGGCGGGGCCCATGCCCAGCCCTGCCCCAAGCCTAACCCACCTGTACGTGCAGGGGTGGAGGGTGATGGCCCCCAGCTGGGGGGGCTGCTGAGGCGTGTGCACAGCCACGCCCACCTCCTGACGCGCGCCCTCGTTGGCATACCCCACCACCAGGGCGTAGCGCCCCGGCCGCGGCACAGCCACTTGGAGCTGGACGTCCACCTGCGGGAGAGGGGGTGACCAGAGGCCGACAGCCTGTCCCCACCTGTCTGTCCAGGGGCTGCCCAGGAGTGGGGCGACCCCCGCCATCTACAGATGAGGCCCAACTGGTGACAGCCCCAGCCACCCTGGCCTGGCCTGCACCCCCGCAGAGCCTTCCCTGCACCTGTCCTGCCGTGAAAACTAGGACCCCCGCCCAGGCCAAGGTCACACCGCCGCCCCCCTGCCCTGGGGGCCAGCCTCAGACACCCACGTCACTGCCCAGGCAGGCGGCCAGCGGTGGGTGTGAAGGGCTGAGGCGCTCTGTGGGACAGGGCCGGGGCAGGCTGTTGTCACGGCCACACAGGGCCTCGGGCCCCGCAGCTGAGGGGAAGCCATCCAGGGGAAGGTGGGCATACAGCAGGCAGCTGCAGGGGACAGAGGCCAAGGTCAGCAGTGGGCCACCCAGGAGCCACCCCGCAGTCTGCCTGTGCACAGGGTTGGGTGGGGGTGTCAGGCCCTCTTGCAGA